ACATTGCTGCAAACTATCATGGAAGGTACAAGAAGAATAATGAGCGTCAATTAATTGTGTGCATGGGTAAGTGAAACTGATGCAGTTTGTTTTCTTTCAATCGTTTTAATTTTGCAAAGAAAGCAAGTTAGTAAGTTATACATTTTTTGATCAGGTTACGAACTACTTCCTCAAACGTTTGAATCAATGCTTCAAGATTTGCGGGCAAAGAACAAGGAATGATACGATTACATCAGCCTCATCGATAAAGAAATATGGACGAACGCATATGATGGTGGATATCGATATGGACACATGACGACCAACTTGGTAGAGGCAATCAATTCAACTTTAAAGGGTGCACGTCACTTACCAGTAGCGGCTTTGGTAAAGACTACATATTTTCGTTTGGTGCACTTTTTGCGAAGCTCGGGGGACAATCTCAAACCTGGATGCAAGGCGGTCATGTCTATCACCCTAGATTAGTTGCAAATCTACAGAAAAAAAATTGTTGCATCAAATGGAATGTCTGTAACAAGCTTCTCTAGAAGGCATGAAATGTGTGTCACAAAGTTGTCACGACCTCTTCAAGGGATTGAAGTTGTGTCGTTAGGAGTAAATCTAAGGGACAGAACGTGCGACTGCGGGTTTTTTCAAGCTCTGAAGTATCCATGCTCTCATGTGATAGCAGTTTGCTCGCATACACGTCAAGACTATAACCATTTTGTGGATCCCATATACCTACTATCTGAAGTTTTTAAGGTATGCGAATTTGAGTTTCTCCCCATAGGTAATGACAAAGACCCTGATGAGGTTCAAGATTGGCTTCCGATTGTACCAAATCCGAGTCTATTGAGGGAGCGTGGTCGTCCAAAATCCAATCGAATCCATTGCGATATGGATATTCGAGAAAGATCTAGACAAGACAGAAGATGTGGGCATTGTAGAAACCCATGACACACTAGAAAAACATGTCCGCTTCTATTGCCTTCAAGTAACAATTGATGAGGAAATGATGTACTTGTTTATCAAATAATAATTCTTGTACTTTGATTTGCATTTACTTCAAGTTAATGTCATTCGATAATCGCTGATGAAGATTAAAAAACGAACACAATCATTAAATTTTATCAAACTAATAACAATTTGGTATTTGAATATAATTTTAAATACAACAAACTTACAATAAGAATTAAATGGTAAATGATAACCAAATTACAATAACTGATATTAAATGGTAATAAACAAAATTAATTGAAATACATTAAAAAAAGTCCAACAAATTTAACAAAATAAAGTAAATACAAATAAAATAATAAAAAATCTATCGATGTCTGTGACGTGAATGTGTTCCGCAGAGCAGTGGTTGTCGGTCTCGATGAGGATTTCTTCTTATCACTGGTTCTGACTCCTCGCTGTCATCATCATCACCGTCATCGTCGTCGTCATCATAGTCGTCGTCTTCGTCCTGAGCATGTACATTAGGTTGATGAGGAGTTGATGACGATGAAGCACCTCCATAGAATAAGGACCCTGGAGGTGTATGACTGACTATCCCACCGGCCTGCAAAAACTGGGAAAACTCATAAAACCCAGACATCGCTGAGTATGAAAACTGTACAGGAGGTGTCTGTGCTGCGGCCATGGGTGATGAGGCTGAACCCACCAGATATCCAGTATATGAACCCCAAGTCAGGTCTGCAAACATAGACCCATAATAGCCTCCAGGAGGGGTCATCTGTGACGGTGGCGGAGGCGGGGTCATAAAATTAGGTGAAAGCGGCGACGAGGTCATAAAACCAGGTAAAGCGGCGGCATCTGGTAATAGAAAGGCGGCGGCATCATATATGGCTGCGGCATCATAAATAGCTGCGGTGGCTGCTGTGAAGGTCCTGCTGGTGCAGCTGAGGATGAACCGGAAGCACCTGTTCTCCGTCCACGAGTCGAGGGACGATGGTGCTGTGTCGGTGAACGTCTCTGTCGACGTCGTGGAAAGGTCTGCCCTCGTGCATCCTTGGGAAGCAGAAATGGTTTCCCGTTACTGTTGAACCACTCATAATAACCGTCAGCAACACTCAAGAGGTCAAGTAAAATGGGCTCTCTACTAGGAAGACGTCGATGTCGATCCTCCCACAACACGACCCACTCATGATGCCTCACCAGCCAATCTGTATCTGTCTTGTCGCGTCTATCTAAGCTATGCAACTCGTCCATATTGCGAGGTGCTTCCAGAATTGGTTGAAAACAACCAAGCTGTCGGAGCACGCGATCAGTAGAGTGCCACTCGACAGTCGCATAACAGATCAGAGGGACCATCGTCATCTAAACATCTGATGGGCCCCTCAACTCAGATGGGATCACCGCCCTCACATCATCAGTACAATATGGCACCCATTCAAACTAAAAAAAATATTATATAATTTTTTATCAAAATAATAATCTAATTATATAACTATAATCTAAAATCGATTTTTAAACATTAAAATTCATACCTGTGTGCCAACCTTCTGATCGATTAGCACCCTAATTTTTTCTAAATCATCAGGTAGCTCCTGATGATTTTTCCTATCAGTAGACCACCTATTCAAGAAAAAAAATTATTATACGCTGTATAAATTTATTAATATACAAAATCAGTTTTATAATTACCTCAGAAGTAGTGGAAATACGAATGGGTTCTTCACAACGGGACATAAAAAGGGTAATCGATACCATGCCCAAGACTGCAGCAGCAGGAGACATCCGCCGATAGCATTACGCCTGTAGTCAGTGGCTCCACACATCTCCCTGTACAGCAAAGCCAAAACTGCCGAGCCCCAACTGAATGATCCGGCCAGATGAAAGTCGCTAAGATATCGCAACCACATGCAGTGAACTAGGTTGCGCGATTTGTCCGGCATCAGCAACCCTCCTATCAACTGCAGTATGCATGCCCGTGCATACATCTTAACTTCATCCTCAGAGGCGTCTGCGCTCAACTCCCGAAAATTGGCATCTAACCAATTTAACGGTATCATACCTCCGATAAAACTTTCCGGGACACTTCCTAGATTATCCCGGCACAAAGTAGTCCAGGAACCCTGCGAGATCCCTGATATCACATCTCCATCCACCGAAAGCCCTAGGTGCATAGCAACACCCTCAAGTGTAATCGTGCACTCTCCGCACGGAAGATAAAATGTGTGGGTCTCCGGCCTCCACCGCTCTACTAAGGCAGAAATAAGGTCTGGTTCTATCTTACAGTGACCCTGATATCTACCTATGTAACTAAATCCATCCTCTACTAAATACGGCAAGACACGACTAGGTATCACTAACTTAAGATTCCTAATAAAAGGATCTAATACACGATCCTTCTCCTAAAATTAAATAATTACACAAATTAATTCTTAATCTAATAATCATGCATTAAATAAATCAACAAATTATTACAAATAATTTAAATTAAATTAAAACGTTAAAATGTTATTGTATCAACAAAGTGTCGAGATATATGATTTACATCCAAGCGAAGTAGACCGCCTTCCATTATATGTCTGCAATAAAGTAAAATGCTTAAATAAATTAAATACATAATATTAAAAATATTATAAAATCTACCTTAAATAGAGAGAGAATTTGAGAGAATATGGTGTGATGAAAGTAATAGAGAATGGGGGTATTTATAGGGAGGATTGGGGGGTAATTAAAGGTATAGCGCCCCCTGTACTATACTATATCCCGCGTGTCAGATAAACAGATATAGCGCGGATCAGAGGCCGCGCTATACCCACGTGTAAGTCCTGTCAGCGTATAGCGCGATACAGGGGGCGTGCTATACCCCACGTGACGCCAAATCAACATATAGCGCGGGACAAGAAGCGCGCTTTACTGTTACGGGTGTTAGATCAGAAAATATAATTTGACCGGTGTTAGATCGATAAATATACCGATCACCTGTGATTTTTCGGGAAAAACGCCGAATATAATCACAAAGAATTTAAGGAATTGTTCGGTCATTAACGGCAGCTATTTTAGGCATCATCATCATTATTATTTGTTCCGAAAACAGAGTGTGAATCCGCCGTTTACCTCTTTTCTACACTCCGGCGGGGGCGGGTGCTATCAAAAACTGTTTCCTAAAATCCGCGTCCATCATTTTTAGCATGTGTACTATAGTTTAAGGTGCAGTTCTTCGAGTCTGAACTAGTGTTGATCCAGCGGTTATTAATAGGGCGACGGCCATGGGATTGGGACTGAAACCAGAGAACCGTCATACACTGATTCAAGACACCCTATGGGGCTAGCAGGGCCCGCCCCCCTAAACTTTGTTGAATTTCCATTTAGTCTCTTTAAGTTTTTATAACTTTTATTATGATTAATATAAAAGAAGGTGATTTTTTTTGTCCCCACAAAATTTTCTAAAAATTTTAAATTTAACGTGTTTTTATAAAATCAATATATTTATGATTAATTTAGTAAACAATATAAAGTATTTGATAAAAAAATACAGTTAAATAATTACCATATCTGCATACAAAATAATATCTAAACGTTGATTTATTGTATTTAATTTCTTAATGTTAATTTAAATGATTAATAGTATCCCGAGTTAAAAATAATAATAATGACCGAGCTTACTTTGAACAGGCGTATCTTATATAATTATCATGCCTTCTTGTTAAAAAATGCCTTTTTTTGTTAAAGAGAAAATTAATTTCAGTATTTAAAGGAAACTTAGATAGTTTGATATGCTAAAATTTGAATAAAGAATAACTCGGTTGACTTGATTTTTAAAGTCAAATTTAAACAAAATCATAAATTTAAATCTAATAAATCATAAACATATGATATCTCATCACACTTAAAACTTTTTAAATAAAATTGAAGATTTATTCAAGTACTTGTGCTAATATATCAAGGTTAACACTATTATATATATATATATATATATATAACCCTAGAATTTTGCCTCCAAAAAAGGAAATATAGAAACAGATATGTTTAATTCCTCGCAGGAAATAACCATTTTAGCTAGAGCTTTATTCTTGAACCAGAGTGATCAATCTTTGAAACAATCTTGAGCGATCAATTCCATTTATATAACTGATTGCAGCCTGTACAAAAATCAATAATGCCAAGTTTTTAGCAGTAGCTAAAACGCATGTAAAATATGAATTAAATAATTTATGTTTGATTAAACAATTAATGAATAAAATTCATGTACATGACTGTAATTTATGCATCAAATGAATCTAATTCATTATCACTGTAACTTTACTGGCTAAAATGTGGTTGAATATAGATTTTGCAAACTTAATCCAAACCCGATTACTTGAACTGATTTACCAGACTCAATACATGATAGTAATCCAAACATGATGATTAAATTTGATCCGAAACCTGAACCATACTCGATCCAAAATTTAGCTAACTCAATATTAGCCCATATCCAATTTGATCCGAACCGAAAAACAACCTGAACCGAAAGCAACCCGAATCGAAAGTAACCTAAATTGAATTTAACCTGATCCTTAAGTAACTCAAACCGAAATTAATCCAAACTGAAAATCTATATATATACTTGATTATATTTATAACCGAATTAAGCCTAAATGATAAGATTAACAAACAAAAAGACATATTTTTACAAGAATATATCAATAAATTTATATATTCGATTAGACTCATAACAAATTCAACCCATATTGACCTGATCCAAAGGTTAACCCAAATCGAAAATCAACAGATTCGATATTGACCCGAACCAAAATCTAATTGATCCGATATTAATCCGACCCAAAAGTCAACTGATCCGATATTGATCCGAACCGAAAAACAATTGATCCGATAATTACTTGACCCGGAAACTAACCCACCCAAAAATTGATCCGACCCGATTCATCATACACCTAAACTAAAATCGAACCACACCCTGTCCGACCCAAATAAAATTAAATCAAATATAATCTAGTCTCAAATTGAACCGATCCGAATGATATGTTTGCTACCTCTAGTTGAATATGCTTTCCATTCCATAATTATTGTTATTATTTAAATTAACAATAGGGACGACCATATTTTCTATTAATAACTATTTTTCATGGGAATAATGTAGTTCATAAGTCTAAAATTCAAGTTGTAGAATTAGTTTTAGAAACATAATATTTAATAAATTCGAATTCAAATTATAATATTTAGTAAACTTGTTCGTTATTTAAAATTTTAGTGCTAAAAAGTGAAAACCCTAAGTTCACATATAAAAAGATCTTATTCAATAAAATGAAGTCTTATCATTTACCTGTTGACAATGAATGGAAAGGATGTTCATATTGCCTGATTTGCTAAGTGTAAGGCTTATAACTTGAGCACCTTCTTCTCCAATGATTCTGATAATCTGACTCAATGAAAGGTTCAACTCGGATCCCGTAATCAGATTTATTTCCATGCCAGAAATATTTGAATATTCTGATATATTTATAACCGGGGACGTCAGCGATGTTCTTGTCGCTCTATGAGCCTCTTCCAGCTGAGACCTCCTTTGTTCAAGTCCCTCCAAACGTGATCTAAGCTGGTTTATGTGTTCCGTGGCTTGCTCCAATCTGTCAGGAATCGACGACCTCTACAGCCAAAAAAAAAAAAAACTCCAACTTAACCTAATCTATTCGTGTTTGAAATTAACTCAGTTAGTTCACGCGGTCACCGATAAAATATGATCTACCACGGATTCTCCTATTCTGGCATTCACATACAAGAAAAAAAGAACGAGAGAAGTTGACGTACTCGGGCGGGTTGAGGAGGAAGGAGGGAGAAGAGCCTGGAAAACAGATCTCTCATGTTGGATCGCCGTTCTCTTTCGATCGTTTTCCGATTCATTTCCGATCAGTGAGCTTAAACCTGCAGGATGTAGCTAGGGTTTTATCAAGTTTATCAAGGTCTTTCTCCACTGTGAAGGACAACGTGGAACATAACCTTAATGAAAAAACACAAAGCGGGGATATTTCTATTTATAGTCACTCATAAGGGTTGCAGTTGCAGAATTTAAAAAAAATATATATGATAAATTTAAAAAATATAAAATTAGACTATTAATAAAAAAATATAAATAAAATATTTAAACTATACGAAAATTTAAAATTTACTTGATACACAGTTAGCTCAACACTTCCTAATTTTAGATCAATTTTTTTTCTTTGAGGCAGAAAAAAAAACTATTAAAAGAAGCCAACGAAAACATTTCTTATAATTCATGCATAATTATCTAATATACTAGTGGATATTTTTCTGTACAAGTGATTTTATTACACAGTCACATGTCTATAACTATTTATTTAAATATTAATTCACGATATGACGATTGACTAAAATTACTTACAGAAAAATAAAACTCTATAAATGTATCAATAATAATTCATAATTTAATTTAAATTTAAATTTAAATTAAATTATTATCCAAATGTTTGTACAATTTGTACATTTAGAATTTAGTCATTCTAGTTTTATTTCTAACAACTTAATTCCTCTATTTTTTTAAAATTTAAAAATTTGTTATTAAAATCACTGGTATAATATTTTAAAATTAAATATATTTTAACTTGACAGCAGCCATGCAACAAACGAAAATTGGGTTGTAATCAACTTAAACTTAATAGGAAATTTTAATTATTTTAATAATTACACAAGAATTTTTAAATCTAAAAGGTAGATAAATTAAATTTTAAATGTTCAAAATGTATACGTACTTGGAGTATAATTAACCTTTACTTTTATTAATTAGTTTTAAAAATATATTCTATTAAATAGAATTTATTATAAATCTATAAAATTATAATAAGAACAAGAGAAATACAAAACATAATATAAGAGGAGAAAATAATATTTCTAATATTTATAGCAAACTACAAAAGTCATATTATAATTGTGATGAATTAAAAAATTATAATTTTATTTTCAAAGTGTTGTAATGTTACTACTTACTGTATTTACTGCTTATCGTGCACGATTCCAGTAGTCAAAGTGACAATGACAATTGACAAATCAACACATGATACTGTTATTGAAGCCGAAATTTATCCTTCAGCTACTATAATTGGGGAAGTTCTATAATGAGACACGTTAATATAAGGTTAGAATAAAGTATTTTCGATTTTGTTATTATTTAAATAATAAAATTAATAAAAAAATTAAAATATTATTAATTTTACTTAAAATATCAATTTATTTTAATATTTTTGGTAAAAGTGTCTAATAATAATAAAATCGGTAGAAAAAATAACAAAACTAGTAACGTTTTATCAAATCCGGTAAAGCGCCCGATAATAACAAAATCGATAGAAATAATAATATTTTCGGTAATTTTTTACCAATTTTATTATTTAAATAATAAAAAATTGATAATATCTTTTTATAATCGTATATTAAGACTGTCGTACGTGAATATTTTCGTTATAATTGAGTTTGGACTAAAAAATTAAAAACTCTCGAAATTTGAAATTCGTGATTAAATTGTAATTTAAAATTTAGAAAATATTCAATATTTTCTGTACAAACGTATAAAAATAAATCTGACATTGGTAGTAACAAGTTTGTTTTATTATTTTTCGTTTTTTTTCTGATTCCACGTATAATATATATTTAAAAGTTTTCTAAATTTATATATAACATATAGGAAAATTCTATAATACTCAATGAGTATTGTTGGGTATCACTAAAAATAAACACCATTAAATTAATTTATAAAAATTTAAATTATAAAAAATTCAACATATAATTATAAATTAGTTAAAAATTTAAAAGTAAAATAATTAAAATAAAATATTAATTATACTATTTTTCATAATTTTTTTGGGTAAACTATAACAATGACTAACTAACTATTACCTCTTTTAATTTTGACCACTATTTTTGAACTTTTTCAATCAGGTCACTAAACTATTTATAAATACATTCAATCAAGTGACTTATTGTTAACAATTAATAAAATTAGTCATGATTACATATTTAGTCCTTATTACTTATACAATCTATAAAATTATTCATAATTTTAAATTAATTCAATAAAAAGAATGTAGTGATTAACATCCATCGTTTAAGGCCATAGCCTCTAACAGTTAGCCGTGAAACAATAGAGATACAAAGCAAGTATTTGATGTATTTTATGTTGGATATTGACATTGAAGTTTATAAGCATATTATTAAGTTAATGTCAAAACAATCTTTGTTCTTATATCTTCTTTAATTATATAAGCACCTATACAGATTGTTGTCGAAGAACGTCGGCTTACTAATGGTTTTAAACAAGGGTCTAAACTTAGATAGTGGAGATACCTTTCAAGCACACAAGTGTGAAAGAGCGATGAAAACGATTCTTTGACTTCGATATGTGGATGAAGCCTATAATCATAACTGTCAATGTTGAATGAGTTTGATCAAGCTATCATGTGTTGAGTTAGCATCTAGTTTTTTAATGCAGAATTTGGTATGGTATGCATTGTTCTTTTGTTTTTCTTCCATTTCTATTTTCGGGATTGAATATTGGCTCATATAGTTTGTTGGATTTCCGTTTGGGTGTATTTTACCCTTAGTCCATCTTTTTCATATTTCAAATTCATGTATGCGGTGTTATACTTTTATAATTCAAGCAATTTGTTATTTCCCAAGAGGTATAATATATGCAATTTTTTATTTCCCAAGAGGTATATATATATATATATAAACATTTTGTTATCGATATTCTTGTTTCATTTACGATTTTTTTCATTATATGTATTGTATTTTTTTATATGAAAAAAAAAATCTGAAAGAACCTTTGGCTTTGGAAAGTTGGTCAAGTTAATTCTCTTTGGTAATAACCCGATAATTGTAAGTTTAACACCGAGACTGATCTTGCATACAAAAGTCATTGATAAATCCATAAATAGTTTTTAGAGTGGACACATCACTAAAATATACAACTAACATGAAAAAATTCAATTTCAAATATAATCATTATTTTACTGTAGAATCATTCTAACATATAAATTATGTAAATGTAATTATTTGAATTTAAACCTTTTAAAGAAATAATATTTTCTTTTTACCTTATAGACTCAGTGTAGATTTTGAATCAACCTATCACTCACAATATGCTAAAAGAAGGCTTAAGTGTTACTCAATTTATCATTTTTACCCCTGTCGTATTTTTGCATCAATTTAACTCTTAGAGTTGTTTAATTGCATCATTCTATACCCTAGCCCTAACTTAAATCCTAAAATTTAAACCCTGAGTTAGGGTTTAAAGTTTATGGTTTATGATTTAGATGTTATGGAGTTATGATTTAGGGTTTAGAGTTTATAATTTAGGATTTTAAGTTAGGTGTAGGGTATATAATGATATAATTGAGCAACTTCGAATGCTAAATTGATACGAAAATACGATTCGAGAGAAGGTGATAAATTGGGTCTGCTACAATGACAAAAGTTACCTTTTTACCTTAAAAGAAATAGGCTTAATAGAAAAACAAATGACTGAACTTTGTCTCAAAAAACGCTTTGATGTCTAAAGAAATTTTCCTTAAAATTGGAGTCTACCGTTTCTTCAGTTACATTTTTAGGTGCATACAGTTATATTTTTAATTTTTTAATATTAAAAATATTATTTTTTTTAATTAAAAATTAATAAAACTAAAAAACTTAATTTATTTATAAAAAATCATATTTTTTTTTATTGAAATTATAAAAAAACTCTAAAAACTAAAATCTCTCATTTCAACCATGTTACCAACCATCACTAGCCATCTTCGGCCACCATTGTCATCATCGAACGGTCACCAACCCATCGACGACCACCTATTGATCAATCTTTTCCCTTACCAGTATCCAAATCCCCTAAATCTCTAAAATCTCTAATACCCAATCTCTAACCTTTAAAATCTTAATCTCCACGATGGAAAGCCGAAGAAGCATCGACGGATTGACGACAAGGATGAGTTTTGAGTGGAATTTCACGATGGTTCAAATGGTGGTGGTGGTGTGGCTTACGGATGTCGGGATCAGTCGAAACCGACAAAAAACAACGATGGTGGCTTAAAATCTGACGAACATTTGAACGATTCTCCAAAACAAACGGTGGCAGCTTATGATAAAAGGTCAATAGGTGTTTGATCAGGGGTCGATGTTGATGCTAATGATGGTGGCAGTCATGGCTTGCCGGTTGGTGACCATGGAAGAGGAAAAGGGGATGAGGGTTGTTGTAACACCCCAACCTGTACCCGACCCGGATACGAATCCGAAGTGTTACATTGACTTTTCAAAACAATTTCTTTTGATAGGTGTATAAAAATTTCAACTCTAACTTATAATGTAGTGGTGAAATCCTTATAATAAAATGTATATTAAAATGAAAGATGAAAATAAACATTCATTAATTTACATAGATACAAAAAGTATGAGTTTACAAAATAGATCAGAGCATTTCAATTTAAACTTGTAGTGCATACCAACCATTTACATATTTACAAGTAACCTACATTTAAATTGTCTTGATTTGATCTTCGCGGGAGTATACTATCCTCGACTAGCTTCAACCTTCAGTTTTCTTCAAACCTACGTGTGAAACAATCACATGCTAAGTCGACGACTTAGTGAGGCAAATACGAGCGAAATACACTTTGTAAACGAAATCTTTAATTATTTCATAGAAACATGTCATAAGAGATTCAAATTGTTTTTCATAACCAGAATGTATACTTTTAAGCCTTGTTTGATTATTATAAAACTTTGTTTTCAAATGCCCAATGTATATTACTGAGAACTCTAGGTATTTGAATACATTGAGGTTTTGTACTAATCATGTCACCACAGCTCACATAATTTGCACCGAAGTGCCACATATTTGTCCCGAAGGACCACAAAGTTTTGTCCCGAAAGACCACATAG